ACAGCCTGCAACCCTACAGCCTGCAACCCTACAGCCTGCAACCCTAAGCCTGCAACCACTACAGCCTGCAACCCTACAGCCTGCAACCTTTACAGCCTGCAACACTACAGCCTGCAACCTTTACAGCCTGCGAACCTACAGCCTGCAACCCCTACAGCCTGCAACCCTACAGCCTGCAACCTTTACAGCCTGAAACTCCTACAGCCTGCAACCCCACAGCCTGCAACCCTACAGTCTGCAACCCTACAGCCTGCACCCCTACAGCCTGCACCCCCACAGCCTGCAACCCTACAGTCTGCAACCCCACAGCCTGCAACCCTACAGCCTACAACCCCTACAGCCTGCAACCATACAGCCTGCAACCCTACAGCCTGCAACCCTACAGCCTACAACCCTACAGCCTGCAACCATACAGCCTGCAACTCCTACAGCCTGCAACCCTACAGCCTGCAACCCTACAGCCTACAACTCCTCTACAGCCTGCAAACCTACAGCCTGCAACCCTACAGCCTGCAACTCCTACAGCTTGCATCCCTGCAGCCTACAACCCTACAGCCTGCAACCCTACAGCCTACTACCTTACAGCCTACAACCCCTACAGCCTGCAACCCTACAGCCTGCAACCCTACAGCCTACAACCTTACAGCCTGCAACCCCTACAGCCTGCAACCCTACAGTCTGCAACCCTACAGCCTGCAACTCCTACAGCCTGCACCCCTACAGCCTGCAACCCCTACAGCCTGCAACCCCACAACCTGCAACCCTACAGCCTGAAACCCTACAGCCTGCAACCCTACAGCCTGCAACCCCACAGCCTGCAACCCTACAGCCTACAACCGCACAGCCTGCAACCCTACAGCCTGCAACCTTACAGCCTGCAACTCCTACAGCCTACAACCGCACAGCCTGCAACCCTACAGCCTGCAACCCCCAGCCGCCCCCTTCAGGTCCCGCTACTCCTGGTGTGAGTGAGGTGGAGCTGAACCTGTGACATTCACAACTGGAACTGGATTGGAAGATAATGAAGAGTTCCAAGAGGAAACGTGTTGGCATTGTGACCACAAGCTAGGCCGGCCCGGCCCGGGCAGGGCTGCCTGCCTTCCAGCCCAGCCTGGTGGTGCGTGTGGGCATCTGAACTGGCACCAGCTACGGCTCTTAAAGGAACAGCCCTGGCCTGTATTCCCTTCCCTCCTTCCTCCCTCCCTCCCTCCTTTCCTCCCTTCCTCCCTCCTTCTCCCTCATGCATAGAATAAAACAGCAGTAATGGCAAATGTGTATGGATTTCTGGGCCAGCACGGCTCAACCTGTGCTAAAATATTCTATTTTTCAATTATTTAGTTCATTATTTTTAAAGTTATCTTTCAAGTAAGGTCTTCACTCAGGACCCCCCTCCCCCCTCCCCCCTGCCTGTGGTCTAGCCACAGTACCTGGCCTTATTTTGTTGTTGTTGTTGTACCTTAGACCAGCCTCCACCAGACACGATCTTCCTGTCTCAGTCTCTGTGTGCTGGGATTACAGGCATCAGTCACCACGCCTGGCCTGAAATAAGCCATTCTCTATCTATCATTGCATTCTATTTTAATTTTTTAAGCAGTGCTGCAGGCTTTGAGCTTGCGGGGAGACGCTTTGACCACTTGCGCCACACACTAGCCCCCTTTTTTTGCTGGCTAGCTTTGAGAGGGCGTCTTGCAGACTTTTCTGGTCAGCTTTGAGAGGGCGTCTTGCAGACTTTTCTGGTCAGCTTTGAGAGGATGTCTTGCAGACTTTCCGGCCGGAGTGGGCCTTGAACCACGCTTCTCCCCCTCTCAGGCCGCAGGAGCCAGGACGGCAGGCGTGAGCTGCCGCACCTGGCAGAAGCCGTTCTCAGGAAGACATTTTGTTCCCCTCTCTCTCTTTTTCTCGTAAAACCCTTTTTTGCAGTGTGTGGCCAAATACATTTCGTGTGTGGCCAAATACATTTCGTGTGCTGGGCTCTCACAGGCTGCCAGAGGCTCTGCGGGAAACAGTGCCCCGCAGCTGCTCTGCAAAGCCAGACTCCGACATGGCCCCGGCCAGGAACCACCCACGACGGAGGGCTAGATACCCATCGCTCCCCCCAATCCAGTTCACGGGGTGCTGTTGGCCAGCGAAATGGAGGCTCAGAGATGTTCAGTAAGTTGCCCAAGGTCACACAGCGAGGGAGATGTGAACTCTTAGGTTTTGTTTGTTCGTGACCATCAGTCAGTGGGCGAGTCCCTGCGCAGGGCCTCCCCCAGGGCTGCAGACATGCCATGGGGCAGCCCTGGGCCCTGGGAGGCCCTGCGGTAGAACACGCATCCGTGACCCACCTGCTGAGCGCCACCAAAGCTCAGGCTAGGGCTGGCCTGGCCGGCCTTCCCACGCGCCCCTCCTCTGCGGCGTCCACCAGGACCCTGTGTTCTGGGGTGCCCATCCCCGGAGCTCATAGGCTCAGGCCCAGCCTCGGTCCCCCCCAGCTCCTATCACGTGGGAGGCTGGGCCGTGGCTGCCATACCTGGCAGCAATTAGAAAATACTAGAAAAAGGTTGAACTTGGGCTGGAGCTTTCCTGCATGAGCCATGCTTCTAGCACTTGTTTGCCCTGGTCATTTCTGAGGTGGGAATCTTGATTTCTGCCCAGGCTGGTCTCAAACTCACCCTGTTCCTGTCTCAGGCTCCCGTGCTGTGTGCCACAGCGTGTGCCACTGTGCCCAACAGCTCCAGGGTTTGCATAGGTGCCCTGTATCAGGTTCAGGGTGGTGGTTTTGATCATGTTCATCTGAGTTCTGCCTGCTGTCCTTTCTGAATTAATGGGTGGGGTTGCAGGAGCTTTTCTTTTACCCTGTTACTGCGCTAGATAGTGCCCAGTGATGTGTGTGTGTGTGTGTGTGTGTGTGTGTGTGTTGGGCCTGGACTTGAACTCAGGACTTCATGCTCCCCCTTAGCCTTTTCGTTCAAGGCTCTACCACTCAAGCCACAGCTCCATGTCCAGCTTCCTGCTGGTTAATTGGGAATAGTGAGTCACATGGACTTTCCTGCCAGGCTGGCGTCAAACTTCGATCCTGGGATCTCAGCCTCCTGAGTGGCTGGGATGACAGGTGTGGGCCCCAGGGCCCCTGGCATGGAGCACAGCCAGCCCTGCACCAGGGCCAGGCCCCTCTGGCGATGGTCTAGTGTCTGTCTTGTGTCTTCTCCATTCCATCGCCACAGCCGTGGTGTTTGGGACGGTGTCCCTCTGTCAGGGCGTCTCCGTCCTCTCCCTGCTGGCCCCAGGCGGCCGGTGCCCAGTGCCCAGTGCCTGGGACGGAGACGCAGTTTTGCTAAACTGAAGGAGAAGGCATGCTTCCTTGTCTATCTTCTGCCGGACATGGTGTAGAATTCTGGGTTAACTCTTCTGTGAACCTTTGCTAGAATTCTCCAGAGAAATACCTGAGCCTGGAGAAGTTAGGAAGGGAGAAGTTTTGAAATACTGACTTTTTTGGGTTTTTTTGTCTGTCATGGGGCTTGAACTCTGGGCCTGGTGCTGTCCCTGAGCTCTTCAGCTCTAGGTTAGCGCTCTACCACTTAAGCCACAGCGTCACTTCTGGTTTTCTGGTGGTTTATGGGAGATAGAGTCTCACAGACTTTCCTGCCCAGGCTGGCTGTGATCCTCCGATCTCAGCCTCCTGAGTAGATGACAGGCGTGAGCCACCGGTGCCCGGCTTGAAATCCTGATTTAGTAGAGAGTTTGGCTCTGGGCTCTGCCGTGCCCGGCTGAGCTAGGAGAAGAGGGCACCTTGCAAGCCAGGCTGGGTGAAGCATGCAGAGTCACAGATGAGGCGGACGGCTGCCGCTGTCGGGGTTCAGAGAGGGCGCCCCATCTTCAGTCTGGCCCAGCTGGCTCACAAATATCACCTGCCAGCAGTGTCCTCACCAGGCAAGCTGGGTGTCTGTGTGGTTCTGCATTTCCCGCTTTCCCTGGACAAGGCTGGGGTCCCAGGGTGACATCAATCAGGGGGTCTCAGATTTGGATTGTCAGGGACCCCCTGGGAGGCTCTCAAGCCTCCTGCCCAGCCCAATCCATCTCTAAACCCTCGGCCCGCCACCCCAACCCGGCCAGACTCTCCCATCCGCCTGTCAACAGACTGTCCCAGCTGGTCCCAGCTGTTTCCTTTCTCCCTCTAATACATTTATTCCCGCTCATAAATCCTGCAGGCTGGGCGGCTGGGCCGGGCTGCCATGCACACAGTTAGTAAATACTGTTTGTTTCTTGCCTGCGAAAGGCAGAATGACCACGAGGCCCTGTCCCCAGCCGCCACGCCCACCGCCGCCTTCTTTGATTCCCCAACCTCGCTGCCGGCTTGTACCGCAGGGGACCCATTCTGCAGGTCCATCAGATGTGCACTTCCACGAGTGTGTTAGCATCCTCCCTCCGTCTCCCGCTCCCTGGCCCCCCCGGGGCTGAGCTGTGGCAGAGCTGGGCCACCCGCCCCCCCCCGCTCCTCCGGGGCTGAGCTGTGGCAGGGCTGGGCCACCCGTCCCCCCCCCATCCTCCGGGGCTGAGCTGTGGCAGGGCTGGGCCACCCCCCCATCCTCCGGGACTGAGCTGTGGCAGGGCTGGGCCACCCCCCCCATCCTCCGGGGCTGAGCTGTGGCAGGGCTGGGCCACCCGCCCCCGCTCCTCCGGGGCTGAGCTGTGGCAGGGCTGGGCCACCCCCCCATCCTCCGGGGCTGAGCTGTGGCAGGGCTGGGCCACCCCCCCCCATCCTCCGGGGCTGAGCTGTGGCAGGGCTGGGCCACCCGCCCCCCCCATCCTCCGGGGCTGAGCTGTGGCAGGGCTGGGCCAGGGCGGCCGGGCCTTTCTGTCCTATTTGCTGGATGGCCGCAGAGCTCCACCAGGTACCTTCTATAACGGACTTCCTTTGTGGGGCGGCCATCTTCCGTGGGGCTCTTTAGTGGGGTGACTTGGGGACAAAAATCCCATCTGGCCCAGACAGTAAATTGAGCCTCCCTTCAGACATGCTAAACGCCGGCTTTGTACCCATTGTCCAGCACTCGGCATGAGGGCCTGCTTCAATAAATCACTCCCATCGCCAGGGAGCAGGCCGGCGCTGCCGGTCACCCGGGCCGGTCAGCGACCCCGCCTGGACCTCTGGCCTCAGGGTGTTAAGGAGACATTTGCCACCACCGTGAGGCCCAAGACAACGGGGGTCAGCCAGGCTGTCTTGGCCCCACAACAGGAAGTCTTCCTGCCCAGGGGTCTCAGGGCACGGGTCCTGTCTCCCCTGAGCCTTCTCGCGCCCTGGGGGGCCCTGCGACCCCTGCTCAGCAATGCCCCCCTTGGGTTAAGGGATGGCCACAGCAGTGGTACCACATGTCCAACAGGAAAGAGGACGGGTCTTTATCTCAGAATCCTCATTGGCTGGGAGGGTGCCCCCAAGACCACTGCTGACCAATCAGGGGCCTGAATGATAGATGCTGGTCACCTGCTCCACCTCTGGCCGGGAAACAGGAAGCCGCACCCGAAGAGGAGAGCCCACCTGCCAGGGGAGACCAGGCCACGGAGCCCCAGGAGGGCGACGGATGCCGGGGTGCAGACCTCGAGCTGTGGTGTCGAAGCAAGGTCTGGGAGACCTGGGGTCCCCTGTCCTCCGCCACAGCCTGTGACGCCACACCCCGGTTGCGGGCTCCTCCGAGGGGTCCCCCGCGCCCCCCTTCTCCAGGCAACACCGCAGGTGGTGCTCATGAGAGTGGGGGCATCCTGACACCCAAGGGCCTGCTCCCCCGGGGCGGCAGCTGCCGCAGAGACCGGCCCAGAGCAAGGCCCACGGCCTCGGCAGATGCGTGAACCCGGGAGGTCAGGCCGGCGGAAGAGGAGCCGCGGGCCCCCACCTGCCCGCTGCCCAGGGCCTGGCCTGGGCGGTCATCGGTCTCACGAAGAATGACCGCTCCCAGCCTGTTTTGCAGACATGGTGACAATGTGACACCGTGGA